ACTTTGTCTGTCATGGGTAATGAGTGTCATTACCCGTCAAAAATCAATTGTATAACGAATAGATAATTCAATAGTTGTAGATAAAGATATTTATTATTATTATTATTAAAAGGAACGATTTCGCTTCAAATCGTCAAGGTCGCTTGGGGGCGAGGCGCTGGATTTGATATATTAACACTCAATCGTCAGTTTTAGACCTCGCCCGCAAGCGACCTCGGCGAAGTGTCTTACTACTCTAAACTTATTTTATCAGTTTTGTGTTGTGTTGTTTGTAAAGAATGTAGCAGTACTTTTAGATTCTACCGACCTCAAATTCAACATTATTTCTTATATTTAAAAAAAAAAATTCTTTTACTTACGTAACAATGAACACCCAACGCCGGAAGTGGAGCATCGGTTTCATATTTCGTTACATAAAACTCAAACAACACAAAATCGATGGGTAATTTTTGTTTTCTCGCATAATTTTGTAGAACGCCAGTTAAAAAGGATTGGGTGAAATAAAACCCTGACAGCCAAAATACCGATGGAGCGTTATTATCAATCCAAGCTTGCAAAAAATCTAATCTAAAAATTAAATTTTAAATTTGAATTAAAATTTTGAACTAAAAAAATTTAAAATACCTTCTTATAAAATCATTTATATATGACCCCAAAGGTTTTAAACTCGGATAACTTTTGCTTAACCACGCTTCCGGGACTTTTCCAACCATTAATGCCAAATAAACGTTTTCTAATTCCGATGACATTACAACAAGGCCTTTTATCGCTTTGGCAACGTCGGTTAAAGTTCTCTTTATAACCGAAGTTAAGCGATTGAACCGAATTAATTCTTGTCTTAAAACGGTGTTCATAGAATTCGTGTACATAACCGGATATTGTTTGCATACTTCCTCCATGTTGAATTGTTGAGGAATTTTTGAGTTAATATTTTTTGATAATTCAATAACAGCTTCGTCTTCGCCTTCTCCGCCGCCGCCGGAAGTAATTTGAGGTTGTGTCAATAAAATCCCGTGCAATAACATCAATGTTTCTTGATTATCTTTAGTTATATCAGCGTTTTCGTGTAAACCATAAACTTCCGGTTGGGGAATTAAAGGCATAGTTTTAATGTATTTGATGCACCCCTCATAAGATGTATCTTCGGGTACAAAATAAGTCCCGCTTTCAGAAAATTTGTAATCCTTTTCTATAATTACTTCGGGTGCATAGAACATTGATAATAAAGAATTTAATAATCTTCGATCTTTATCATCGGTGACTCGTCCGCCGTAATTGCATTCGCCGGTTAAATAAGTAAGCGCCTCAAATGGAACGTCTTTGTAATCAGTCAAAAACATTTGTAATTGAAGTATGCAAATTCTCAAATCGGATTCGTTAAATTCGTAAGGAATGTTCCAACCTAAAGGACCAAACTTTTTTCGTTCTTGAACTAAAGCGTGGAAAAAGCACAAACTGAATAATAACATTTGCCATTCGCGCCATCTAGGACACGCGTTGTAAAACGTGGAGTCCGAAATTGGATCGTTCAAGTAAGAACGGAGCAAATTTTGTCGAAGACCTTTCGGTGCTTCGTTTGTCATTTTAACACCGTTTTGTAGAATCGAAACGGGAAATGCGCGACTTGGGTAACTAGTCAACCATAAGCGGAATAACACATTCGTCACGTCCGGTACGATAACTTCATCAGTAATTCGATCTAATTCGCGCATCCAACTCTCTGCCAAGTGACAATTTTGTAACACGACCCATTGACCAGTTACTAAAGCTCGATTTATCATTCCAGCAGCTATAGGACCCTAAAAATTTGGTAATAAGAAATTGAAATCGTTATAATTGGTAAATACCTGTCCTTGTCCAAGGGAAATTGTTAATAAGGCCGTTTTCGGTATTCCTTTATCCGCGGCGAAGCGAATTAAACCGGCCATCGGATCCGATCCCGCTGATAATATAAATACCAATGGAGTACAACAGTTACTATCGTTGTAAGATTCTTGTAAATTAAATTGGGGTGGTTCTAAATACGCTTGACCCATTTCCTCTCCTATATAAAGCTAAAATCAATCAAAAAATTAATTTAAAAATTTACACATTCAAATTATTTATTGAATTAAATTCAACCGAGGCAGCTATGCTGCCGAGGCAGGTGCTCTAATACTGGGAAGACTGTTATTGGACTTAATCATGTGATATTCTAACCAAAACAGCTGTGCTGCTCAGTAAAAAACTGAACAGTAAGCTTTTCTTTCTAAAAAGGACGTATCTCTATAGAAGCCGAGGGAGCCTTGCTGCCGAGGCAGTTAAACAAATACTCGGAGAACAGGCAGTAAAGCTTATATTTTACAATAATATATCATTTGGAACCGAGGCAGCTATGCTGCCGAGGCAGGTACTCTAATACTCTGAAGACTGTTATTAGACTTAATCATGTGATATTCTAACCAAAACAGCTGTGCTGCTCAGTAGAAAACTGAACATTTAGCTTTACTCTCCAAAAAGGATTTATCTCTATAGAAGTCGAGACAACCTTGCTGCCGAGGCAGTTACACAAATACTCGGAAAACAGGTAGTAAAGCTTATATTTTACAATAATATATCATTTGGAACCGAGGCAGCTATGCTGCCGAGGCAGGTGCTCTAATACTGGGAAGACTGTTATTGGACTTAATCATGTGATATTCTAGCCAAAACAGCTGTGCTGCTCAGTAAAAAACTGAATATTAAGCTTATCTTTCCAAAAAGGACTTATCTCTATAGAAGCCGAGGCAGCCTTGCTGCCGAGGCACTTACACAAATACTCGGAGAACAGGCAGTAAAGCTTATATTTTACAATAATATATCATTTGGAACCGAGGCAGCTATGCTGC